CATGCAGTAAGTTTACTAAGCCAATTTAACAGTAACTTTACTCAACAGCATTGGACAGCTGCAAAGAGGGTCCTCCGGTATCTCAAGGCTAGTACAAATAGTGGACTCACATTCAAGAAGACTGGCCAAAATCTTTTTTGCTATGCGGATGCCGATTGGGGATCAAACATCGACGACAGACGATCATTCACAGGCTTTGCATTTATGTCTGCAAACGCAGCAGTAAGCTGGGAGTCCAGGAAACAGCGCACAGTGGCACTCTCAACGACCGAAGCCGAGTACATGGCTATATCCGATGCTGCGAAGGAAGCCGTTAATCTAAAGTTGTTCCTGAAGGAAACTTTAGGTACGCAGGACGTTGTCGTGATCTTTAACGATAATCAAGGGGCAGGTGACCTGACACGAAATCCAGTATTCCACAACCGTACAAAGCATGTGGATATTCGTCACCACTTCATAAGGGAGCTGGTTGAAAACAATGAAGTCATCGCAGAATACATCCCGACTGAGAAGATGCGTGCCGATGTATTGACAAAAGGTTTATCTACATCAAAACACAACGAATGTATAATTGGTTTGGGTATGATTACTATGTAAAATATGAAAATTGTTCAACATAAATTTGAGGGGAAGTGTATAAATATACCAAATTTAAGTTTACATGTATCGATAAGAACTCATTGTACTCATCCCTAATCGTGTAGTTCTCTAAGTCTTTGCCACCAGCGGTTGTGTCGCGCGTATTACTGAAGAAAGTATATATATATTATAATCTTACTACTCGATCTTTCGTCTGATTTACATCAAATAGTGGCACTGAAATATATACTGGAATTGTTTTAAGTGTAATAAGTTAATAACGGAATGATAATACATATATTTAATTCCGTTATGTCGGATTAATCACTTTTGGATTTAGACAATATATCATACAGAAAGTTAGTCGAAATAGGGTTGGAAAAACTGGCTGTATGACCGGAAATTATAATAAATGGAACTTGTAACATGTTACTTCGCCCTTGCAATCCTTAGCAATGTGGCCTTCGCTGTTACACTTGAATCATTTTCTTTTCTTTCGATTCCCTGTTAAAATTGTCTTTAGAACTTCCCTTACCCTCCATCTTTTCGTAAATGAATACTTCGTCTTTAAGTTCCGTAATGGATTTCGCTCGATACAACCCTGCCTTGTTGACCTTGCCACCTGGGATGTCATCTACGAAGTACGATACTAGACTTTCCTCATCAAGATTTATCGGTTTGCTGATCTTCATTAAACTATAGAGATATTCGATGCATGTCTCTTTTGGTTGTTTTTGCCTTTTGCGCAAAATCTTGTGTATCATGTATCTGCCGAACATAGTTTTATACCGAATTCCTCCATCAACGCGTTTTTCAGCTCAATCCAACCCCTAACTCCACTTGTACTTTTGATATACAGCTTGGCTGCTCCAATCAGAAGTTGCTTGGCATAAATGAATTTCTGCAAATTATCCCAACCAGCGTTAACTGCAACGTCATCGAATTCAGACAGCCAGTGATTGACGTCTTCTTGTTCGGAACCTGAAAATGATGAAACACTGTCCTGAATATCGCGTAATGTAATATTGGAGCTACTAGGTTTAACCGTTTCTTGGTAATTAGAAGAACCACTAACACTCACACCATCCTCATCAGCATCGCCGTCCTCATCGTCAGCCACAACTAATCCATAATGATCGAACAACCGATCCTGTAAAGCTCCTTTTCTGCCAGTTGTATTCAAACCTAGTTCAGATAATTTTGCCCTTAGAAGAGGCACTGTCATAGCGAGGATCGTTCTAGTACACATGGTAATGCGCTTAAGCCGTTTACAAACAGTGGTACAATTCCATATTTAAATATTTTGATACAAAGTAATAATTTAATTAACGTTAAACAATTCGTGTGATCAAAAATGTTCGAATCAGATTTAATATGTGGAATCGCCTCAGTCGCTCATCACTCCCAATTGAATTTTTCTGTTTTCATCAACTGCTTGAATTTTGCCAATTCCAGTCCACCCAGCTACTCCAGCTCGAACTCTTCTACAATGTCGACACACCGCACTGCTTGATCGTCTCGGTCTTTTTTTTTTGAAATTGCGTCGTTTGCAAGTTCTTGCAGCTTCTCTTCTCGCCACAGAGAAACTTTTGTTGTAGCAAAAGTGTCAAGTGGCCACTCCGTTGCTGTATGTCGTCCTTCTCTTCTCTCGCCAATAACACCCTCGCCTTCGTCGCAAGGATCATCTCTCGTTGTCCTCCTCTCACAGGTAATTTATACCTTCGTTTTCACCTGCGACCATGTCGTCAAAACTCGATCACAGGCACTGCATCAAATTGTCGTCGAAGTTTTTTTTCGTCGTGTTTCTTCTGTATTACTTTTCTTTCTATACTGCGTACATTATTTTGTTGCGGGTTTTAGCGCGGTAGTTTTGTGGGCACGCACACAATCAAGTTTTGTAAAATGTTTGGCACTCTTTTGTGGCCTTCGTAATCGTTCAAACTCCTGTAACACACAAATCTGAAAGTCGATTTAATTAACTGCTTAGATTTTCCTCGGCTTTAATTGTTTCTATACAGGTACTTCCCCCGTTTTTAACTTTTTTTTTCAGCTTTTACTTCGTTCTTCATCGCGGCATTTTTTAGATGTGTTAACGCACAGTTTTCTCTTTGTTCTTTTACTTGTTCCCGGACGAGCCAACAATAGTTTGTAGGGTATTACAAATTAAAATGTTTATTTCGGGTATAGTTAAGTAAATTAAAGAAACAAAGGTTTTTTGTTTAAACTCCACGTCTTTCGCACTCTATGGATGACACGACTTCCGGTGACAACATATCCACATCAACTGACTTGCTTAAATTTATAAGGCGTAATTTCTAATGAAAGAGGGTGATGGATATAGATCTCTTTGATGAATAGGGGTAGGAACTGTTTTGCGTTTTTAGTTGATGAAATATGCTATGAGGTTGTGGAACTCTGAACAGTATGTCCCCATATGAAATTAAACAGGCTGCTGTAAATTCCTCAATATATCCATATCCCATATATATGTTACTTACGCAGAGTGCGTACTCGATCAGAGGTTCTAGTTTGTCCTTTGGAGGCGGCATTTTACGTGCTTTATCAAGCATTGTTTGAAGTACATGCTCTGGCCGACCGAAACACATTTGAAGTGTCTGTATGATTTCGGGGAGCATCGCTGGTAATAGTAATATACTTTGTACTCGTTCTCGGTCCCTACCTCTTAGGCTTGACTGTAGGCGCATGAGGTTCTCCGCGTTGGTGTAGCCGGAGATCTCTGTGCTAGTTTGAAAACTGCTATAAAACAATGGTTAAGCTTGGGGGTTTGCCATCGAATGCTGGCAACTCCCTTGGGATCGCTTGACGAGCGGCGAAGGTGTTGGTATGCCAGAGGTCAGCATTATTTTGTTGGCTGCGTCTGGTCTCACTAATAAGCGCCCTGCGGCTTCGGCTTCCTTTGGCCTGATCAGCTGTGGCTTAACCGGGGCCGGACCATGTGAGGTTAGGTTCGACAAATTGCTGTCATGCTAGTAGTCGTGACCGTCGTCGACGCGGATTGTGTATTTTTGTTAATGTGTTCCAGAGGAGAAGCTTGATATGACGGGTTGTATGGAAGTTTCGCCAACCCGTTTCCTTGTGTCGGTGATGAGGAGGCCTGGGGTTTGTGGAATGACATCGGTATCGTTGGCACCACTTCTGTGATGACGTCGCGTATTATGTTCTCGCAGTCTCATTGCCAGCTGTGATCATCACCAAGGCCCACGCACTCGCTGTGGTACCATTCGATCAAAATCCTCATGTGCACATAGCTTGCAATGGTACATTCCACTTGATAGGTTGTTGTTATCCGTGTTACACAGAAAAAAAAACGAGCCGGGATCAATTTGATATGCGCATGGTAAAGTTGTGATTTTTAGACACATATATTTTTTACCATTAAATAATGTCAAATTGATACCAAAAAATGTCAAGGTGTCGAAATTCTTTGACATCGAAAATGGCGACATCAATCACGTGAGTGGAAGCGAAAAAGATATATTCGAAATTCGAATTGGCCTACTTCGATCATGTTGTCTCGCTTTCACTTACATACGTTTTAGTGGATTTTTTGACACTTGAGTTTTATCGTGAATCCGGTCAGACGTACATTTTCAGTGTTTCCCTAAGTGCGCAGAACAAGGAAAAGGTGAGTAAACTTCATATATAATGTGTATATGTCTAAAGGGCTATAATAACATAGTAACATAATTAGCGGAAAAAACTAAAATCGTGTGCGATTTTCTTAGTGGCTTTTTTTATAAAACTGCTCTACGACAACAAAAGCACGTGCAACTATGTATGTACATACATACGTATGCGTAAGCGTGTGTATGTGTAGAGGCTGTTTCAGCGTGAAAACAAAATTAATAAGTATGTACATCTAACAATAAACATAATTACATTTAAACAAAAGCATATTTTAAAATGCGCTTAAATTTATGTTTAGATGTATGTACATGTTAATTATTTTTTCTACGCCGCCCTGCAATGTCGCTTCTCATGTACATACGTACATATGTATGTATAGACAGATGCACGCGATTTTCATTGCTTTTCATAAAATTTTGCTTATTCTTGAAAGTCTCCTTCAGTTAAAAAAAAAAGTTTAACTTGTGAATCACCTTCTGAATCCCGTGGGACATGTCCTCTTGCACAAGTGAAGAACAAGTGACGCTCCATATAGAAAATTGTATGGGATGTCTGTATTTTCACAAGTGAAAATTCAAATTAAAATTTTTTCGAAGTCCCACGGGACTTCACTTGTTCCTTATACTCATTTTTCGTATGGACTGTCACGTGCCGGTGACACGTCCCATGTGAAAACACTTGTGAAAATCAGAATTTTTCAATGAGTTTTTTTTATGAAAAATAATTTAAAATACATACATTTTTATTCATTTTATTCATTTTAATTAAATAGTGTTATTTAGGATTTCTGTTAAAGGACAATTATTGTTAGTAAGCCTAGTTTAATGTTACGTTAACTTGCTTTTTACATTGGTCATCGCCTTCCTTAAACCTTTGCTCCTGAAAAAATTCATGAGCTTATGTTAAAAAAATGCGTTTTATTTGTTTATTTGCATATTTACCATTTAGAGCTGTGTTTCAACCTTTGCAAGATTTTTATTGGCGAAAAAACATTTCATCATCCATTTTCGGCTTACGGCACCCATTGAATACCTTAATACTTTAACCTAAGATCAATGCACAAAATCTTCAACCTAATGTAACACTTACCTGACTTTATTATTTTCACTTTAAAAAACGAAAGAAGTAAATCTGCTGCGCACAATTTAAATGGCTTGCTTCCCTTTCAATAACTCAAACAGAATGAACCTAGTATTCCTCTCACTCCTTTACATGATTTCTTTTAATTTCTCTTCGCTGTTGGCGCGGGCCACTGCACCTTTACCCTTTCTAAAGCAAAAAATATCCGACTACATAATTTTTACTCATTTGAGTAAAAAATACAAAATGAATTCTTTAAAAATTGTACTATTAAAATGTTTTAAATATTTAAACAAATTTTAATGAACTAAATTTCTATAACTTAACTAAAAAATTATATTGTAATATTAATGTATAATACGTAAGCATAACATTAAAATAATTTACTTTTATAAAACAATATTAGTTGTTTTTTTTCGATACACAATAATGCTCCTAAAATATTAGGGCATTCACATGTCGCTGTGCCACGATAATTTTTACGCATTAGTCGCTAGCCGAACATAAAGGAGAGACTCAAAAGAAATAACGGACCTGCCGAAACTTGTCTCTGAGAGCGCCGAGTGCAGGCAGGTTATAAGACAAAGAAAGAGAGGGAAGCTCCGAATATCTGCCTCTCTTTGTTGCACGATCGTTTTCGTAGGCAGTCTTCTACGCTGCGCCGACTTCTCTGCTGACGTCAACAGCGGCACAGCGTTTTAGGCACAAAAAAAAACAAAAAAGCTTTTTGCCTTGAGCCATGTCACCGCGTCCATACACAGAAAAAAAAATTGATATGATATGATGGTCAATTTGATGAAAACCAGTATCAATTCGGCCTTGATACGGCGCATATCAATTTGATATGTTCGAAATGGTAAAAACGATATTTCGGTAATATCATTTTTACATTAAGCGGTATCAATTTTTTAAAAATCATTTTGTTGTAAATTTGATATTATTGTAGATTTGATATTATAATTTCAAATGTACATTGTAGTAGATTGAATATTAAAAATACCAAATTTATATTATTGTTAATTTGATATAATCTCAAAGACAAATTTAAATAAAAAATAATATACCAAAATTTTGTTATTATGCGTTTTATTACCTATTTACAGTGTTTAAAATATTTGCAGTAATTTTTATTTACACATTATTTTAGATATTTACATTGGGTCTTATTTTCGTACTTATGTATACTTATCAACTAAAATTTCTTAATTGCGATTAACTTATATTTATAGTTTTTATACAACCTTAAAAGATTCCAGTTCGTCATCCACCACATAAGCTTGAAAGAGCTCGCTAAAATTTGAAACCTTGATATTACCGAAATATCGTTTTTACCATTTCGAACATATCAAATTGATATGTGCCGTATCAAGGCCGAATTGATACTGGATTTCAACAAATTGACCATCATATCATATCAATTTTTTTTTCTGTGTACCAGTTACTGAGTTCAGGGGAGTTCGAAGGAGATGGAGATATGCAGCAATTGCACACTCCGCAATGGCGCCACCTAGAGCCGATTTAAATAATCTTAACATGTAGGAAAATATTGATAATCTAAACCAAATTGCATTTACACTTTTACAATATCTTCGTTAGAGTGGACATGGCACCCTGCTAGAGTAAACTTGTTCTGTTCCAGAACCTCAAAAACCTGCATGCCGAGATCTCAGCATTCATGCGGACGGACAGACAGACAGACAGACATGGATAAATCGACTCGGCTAATGATCCTGATCAACTTGATCATCAAGATTATATACATATGTTCTTTATAGGGTCGGACACGATTCTTTCTACACGTTACATACTTTACGACAAATATAGTATTCTCTTTTATTTTCCAATTATCGGGTATAAAAAAAAAATTTCTATTTAATGGTTGTCAAATTACTAATTACAAAAAATATGTTGTCTAGTGTGTGGGTCTCGAGCCTAGTCCCCCGAGCATAAAAAAGTATCAGAACCTTAAAATGTGAAACGCTCCATACAAATTTAATATGCGAATTCTGTCTGTGTATGTATGTACATATGTATGTATGTATTAGACAGAATCCAAGTTTCTGCGTAGAAATCTTAAAGGGGCAAAGCACGCTCATAATGACGCATTAAGATAAGTTGTATTTTCAATATTTTGATGAACGCCGACGACTGAAATTCGTCCGTCTCCACGATTGGCGGAAGTCCACTATTTTCAAGATGAATTCGTTGGGAAAACCGGGCGAAAGGAAAAGTAGGGAAAAGTAAAAAGCAAAGCAACATTTCGAATCGCCCTTGATTTGTTCCGCTCAGATTCCATTCGTTCCCCAAGCGAAAAAGAGGGCAAAGAAAACTCTTATACTATAAATCTCTTTCTTATTTGGGGCTTTATTCGAACTTGCGAGAGCAGACAGGTAAGTGTATCCCTCTTGCAGAGTCTGACAGACTGGGGAAACGTAAAAATGATGGAGAATAGTAAATAGCTTTGCAAACATCCCTAGAGCCACTCACAAGACTCCATGGACCCAATTTATTGGCTGGTTCAATAATAGTTTCAAGTACTCGCCGTTCCTTTGCAGCATTTGCGAACTGTGCGTTGCGCTAGCTAATAACTGCACAGAATCCACAAAAGAGAGGAAGTGAGAGCACGTCCACTCACGCTTCTCCCTCAGGCCTTCTCTTACCTTCCACATATTACATACAAATGAGTGGTGCGCTGCAAGTTACACCGCTTGGCGGATTCAATTGCTTATCGACCTTCGTTCCGAGCGTTACAATAGTCGAAATAAGTCCCAGTCGCGTCCGCACTCCCAGTCGCCTCTCCCTTTTAATTGTTCAGCCTCAGTCTCATCCCAGCGCCCGAGGCAGGAACAACACAATGCTTACGCTTGTGGCAACGCGGTCGTGAATCGAGTAGAGCCCCCGTTCGGAATAAATAATTCTGCTTACAGTCGTCTCTTCGAGTTTTGAAAAATTCGACCCGAAGGGAGCGGGTATCGCGAGTGTTGATATTCGAATTGGTATAGAGAGCATTTTCGCCCTGCAAGATGCGGCAATTGTGCACCTGCGGCTGCCTGCAGCAAAGAGCTGCAAAGTGTGTGAAATGTGCCACATGAGAAAATGCACCAGATGTTCTTAAACATATCAAAATAAAGCAAAAGTTAGAGAATCTTTTGGAGCCCTAGTGTACAGTGCTTTAAAGTTGAAAATTTTTTATTTTTTTTGCTACGTTTTTTGACACACTACCAACGGAATACAATCAATATACACCTTAAGTCAACTATTGCCTATTTCAAAATACTTGGAATATTAAGGTAAGTTATTTAATAGTGAAAAATGGGTTTTATGATATAGAAAATAAGTACACAGAAACTTTTTTAAAATTTGTGACTATTCTTGCTTCAACCCTTAAAGTTATTTAGATATGTATGTATTCTGAAACGAATTAAGTTGATAAAGAGTAGTAGATATACATTAAATGGAATTTTTGCAAAAAAAATTGGGTTTGGCAAGTTACAGTTCAAGAAAAAAAAGTAAACTCTCATAATTAATTAAAACAAGAGAGGACGCTATAGTCGGGTGACCTGACTATCTGATACAGGTTACTCAGCTAAGGGGAGTTCAAGATAAATGAAGATATGCAAGTAGCAAATCGGTTGATTTCGAGATTGATCACTTTATTTGCTTATAACTTTTATATAAATATTCCGAAAAAATTGAAATGGGTATTAAAAACACTTGTACAAAATCTTCAAAAAAAGGGCAGCGTAAGGGTGGGATTGGAACCCTGCTGAAATAAACTTGAGCTGGGCCAGAACATTCTGCATGCCAAATCCCAACTTTGTAGTTTCTAAAGTTTCCTAGATTTAAGCGTTTATACGGACAGACGGGCTTGCGGGCATGGCTAGTTCGATTCGGCTAGTGAACCTGATCAAGAATATATATACCTTTAGGTCGGAAGCCCTTCCTTTAATACATAACTAGAGTCAGACTGTCAACGTCTTGGCTTCATCAAACTAACACGCCTTGCATGGAAGCAACTTTCTCGGACAAAGAAAAGGCTTCCCCAAATACTTTGAGACGATTCTTCTGACGGCTCTTGCACAGGTTGTCTGTCAATCTCAGGTTTTTGGAATCTTCAGACCCCTCTCTAGACACACAATAAGGCTAGGTACAGCCCCCCTGAATTTATAAGTTTTTTTTAATAACTATGACTTTTCCGTTGATCCTGAAGGTAGTTAAGCAGAACAATAAGCAGGCAATTAAAGTTCCCCACACCTCATATTCCCCTCCATTCTTTGTAAATGTCTTGAATTTTTTTTCCTGCTCCCCTGGGCTATATTCAAAATTTAAGATTGAGATTGAGTCTTAACGTGGCTGGATATCCGATGATTGTCGTAACCGCGAGAAGGAGCCGAAATGGCGTATGCATATTTATTTTTGTGTAAAAATCATAATTACACCAATTAAAACGAGTGAGCAAGATGGTATCAGGCTGCCTAAAGCGGCGTTTGTCGTCAAAATAAAATTGAAAATAGATTTCTAGATTTAACAAGATACACAATGCTTTGTTCCTAATTCAAATTTCAGTAAAATTTCCAGGACTTTTATATTAGCGCAACACAGACGCGAACGCCAGCGTCCTAGAGAATAACAGAAGCACTACTGATTGATAGATTTATAACATAAATTTTTTTATTTATTTATTTATTTTGGTTTTCACTCTTCCTAACGCTAACATAAATTTAAATTTAAATTGAAACGAAATTTTTAAACTTCGCCCTTCATACTTCGTTATTTTTTTTATTTAACCTTACATTTTAGTTAAGAAATAATTAGCTTCATGTTTGTTTTGGTTTGACTAGGCGGAGTTAAAAATGAATATGTTTTCGAGGCAATAGCTCGACTATCAGATACCCGTTACTCAGCTAAAGGGACCAACGGGAAATGGAGATATGCAAGCAGTAAAGCGAGATTGAAATGCGTCACCTATCCGCGATCTCAATATATGGTTATATAGGCGTTAAAGTAGACATGGCTAGATTGACTCGGCTAGTGTTCCTGATCAAGAATATATGTACTTTATGCGGTTAGAAACGCTACCTTCTGCCTGTTACATACTTTTACTTTTACTCTTCGAGTAACGGGTATAAAAATATAAATATGTTTGATAGAATTATTAAATACAGCAGCTGGTCGCATTTGTACTATCAAAGTATTATTTCAAATGCAAGAAAACACTTATTATTTTGTTAATAAATTAAATCCCTCCAGTGAGCTTCAATTAATGCTTCTTCCTCTAATTCAATTCTCATTTACCGTCACTCTGTTGACAATGCTTCCCCCAGGTCATTTTTTAAAGGCTGGCGAAAACAACAATCATAAAAATGTATTCTCAAAAGTGTCAGAAGTGTTTCGAGCTTTTTATCTGTTTCTGCTTCGACGAGACCTTGTCGCTGCCCACATGGCTACCATCGAATTGGCCCCAGTCAACTCCTACTCCTCCACTTCCTCTTATTAATTAGCATCGTACTAAGAATAATGTTTCCTGCGGCCCTAGATGGTGGCAGCAGTCCACTGTCATAAGTTTACGGCAAATTTATTTGTTCGGATCGCCACCGAAGGCGAAGCAAAAAAGACACATCTGATCCGAAAACAGATACAGAGAAACCTGTACATGCATATAAAAAGACTGCACACAGGTGCTACATTTTCTTTAATTTCTTACCCACATCACTCTGGAGCAGGTATATTGTACCGCAAGAAGAAATAATTCGTTTTAATATCTCTGTGTTTAATTGGTGGTTAGTCTTCTGTTGCCGGTTTTTTTTTTAATTTTTATGCTTCGAGGTTTTTGTGTTAGCTTGTAAAATAATTACTGCTGCTGTCATGTCATGTACTTTTAAAAAACGATGAAGTGTTTCGGTTACTCAAAGTAGCAAAAGGTATCTTTATCTGTAGCTGTGATATTGATTAAGAACTTTTCGTGAAATATCTTGACACTACCTATTTGTTCCAGTAGAATCTGTAACATGTGGACACTATTCGTTGTTTTGTGTTGAAAGCTCAAAGACAAAAACTTAAGATTTTCAGCACCGGGCAAATGTTTTAATACACTCAGAAGAAAAATAACCCTTAATTTTACAAAATCGCCATACTTGGTGCCACAGGCTAGCTTTGAATTTTAGAAAATATATTTCTACACATTCTCACCTCAATTCTCACATATCACTATTTAAATATTATATTGATACAAATTCATATTAATATGATACAAAATCATATCAGTTACAAATGTTGATATGAATCCGTATCATATTGGTATGAATTCGTATCATATTGATATGAATTCGTTTCAATTTGATATGTTTTACATATCAAACGCAACATCGAAAAGAAAAGAATGACTGTGCCTTTTGTGTATTTATGGTATTAAGTATGATATTAAAGATGTTTTTTGACTGTCATTCATAAGCCGCGGTCATTGTGCGCTGTTTACTTAATTTTGGAAATGGTTAGTATCTCTAATTCAGTTGTATTTACTTGATGTTTGTCTAATTTAAATTTATTATTCTTTTTGGACACCGCAACGTGAGTCTCGGTGGCTGGACTACACACACTGCGCTACAACAAAGTCAAATGGCTGACCATGATGCCGAGCTGGGCGATTTAACGCCCACCAATTTACTGGACAGGAAAAGGACTCACTTGGCGCTGTTGTAAACCTACCTGAGTGGTCCGAGTCTACAGCGATCGGCCATACATTGATAGGTCCTCGAAATATGTTTGTAATGGACCCGAAATATATTGAAAATAAACAAGCAAACTTAAAGGGGTTTTAAAATTAATTTTTATATAAGAAGAAAAAAAAGTGAAAAATAAAACTTTTATATATCAATAACACAAACATCAATCTGATATGACAGAATAAGAGTTTAGAATGAAACAAGGAAGAACGCTATAGTCGAGTACCTCGACCATCAGATACCCGTTACTTAGCTAAAGGAACCAAAGGGAAATGGTGATATTCAAGCAGCAAAGCGAGATTGAAATGCGCCACCTACCGGCGGTAGACAGATTTAAGAGTTATGGGCGTTAGAGTGGGCGTGGCAAATTTTTTTTTGGATCAATCGATAGGTATTGATGAGACCAATACATTTCAGTTAAAATTGTGGGCCCCACAGGCTTGGGCGGTTTTTTGGTCGTTAGAGTGGTCGTGGCAATCTTTTTTTTAATCAATCGATAGCTACTGAGGAGACTTTTACATTTCAGTTAAAATTTTTTATCTAGCATAAAAATTGTGGGCGCGACAGGCTTGGGCGGCTTGAGGGCGTTAGAGTGGGCGTCGCATATTCGCGTAACAAACTTGCGCTGCGTACAAGGCTTCGGAATTTAAATCTGAGATCGCATTTCTCTATCTTTGATAGTTTCCGAGATATCCGCGTTCATACTTACGATTATTTTTAGTTTGTGGGCGGTTTGTGGGCTTTAAAGTGGGCGTGGCAAACTTTTTTTGGGTCAATCGATAGGTATTGATGAGAACAGCATAAAGCAAATAGCATAAAAACTGTAGGAGCCACAGTTTTGGGCGGTTTGTGGGCGTGGACAATTGCTGAATCAAACTGCGCTGCGCAGGAATCTCAGGAATCTGCCTGTCTAATCCCAGTATTGTAGCTTGTATAGTTTCCGAGACCTCAGCGTTCATACGGACAGACGGACAGACGGACATGGCTGGAGCGACTTGGCTAGTGATCCTGATTAAGAATATATTTACTTTATGAGGTCGAAAACGCTTCCTTCTGCCTGTTACATACTTTCCGATGAATGTAGTATACCCTTTTGGAAAAACTCGCGGGAAATCCAAAGATACGTACTATTTGTCGCTGAAAAGAGTTTTCTCTAAATACGAAAGATTTAAAGTTATGGTGAAAAGTTTTTTTTTTTTACCACTTTTTGTCTATTATAAGTTGACATACCTCAACTTCTAATCTATAAAACATTTTGTTATAAAAATTACCGCTTGGATGTAATTGAGCGATAAAAATTGCAACCCGATTCAGTTCAGTATAAAAAACATTTGACGCTTTCCTTGATTGCCCAAAACTATGCATCATTAAATGGATCACACAAAATTCTTATAAGATATTTTTTAAGTAAAAGAATATCATTTACATGTTTGTCTTACACTTAAACTTTTTGTATAAATAAATTATTAAAAGCCCGAAAAATGTAGTAGGTTGAATTTCCGCTGTGTAACTATACACACTTATTTAAATCATTGAAAAAATGTTTATATAATTAAGTACGGGATACG